GAGAGAAAAAAAATGTAATTGATACCACACAATGGCCGCCCACTGTTGCTCCCCAAAGAGATGGGTTAAATGCAGAGAGTGAATTTCATTGCTTTGTACTTCTGACAGTGTAATGAATTCTATTATAAAATATTTGTAATAATAAAAGGGTTAGGTGTCTTAATAACAAAGTATCTAGGGCTGAAACAATTAATTGGATTAATTGTGATTAATCGATTATTGAAATAATCGTCAACTGATTTAGTAATCAATTAATCCATTAATTGGAGTGTAGAGATTCTAAAATGTGCCTTTAGCTGACAGAGCAAACCACTTAGAGCTGTAATTATACCAAAATTGTAAAAAACAAAATGTGTTGCATTTAAGATAAAAATCTTTTTCATCTGTCAAAATACTCTAACATGCACTCCTCAAGTGGAAAAGCCTTTAAACACTTGGTTTAATTTCTAACCCTTGTCTCCTTTAAGAAACCTTTTGCTATCCAATTATTAATTGATCATTAAAAAAAATCAACAGATTAATCAATTTGCGAAATCAAAGGATTTATATCTTTATCTTATTTTTTTGTTTAGTTACTTAAACATCTGTCAAAGCCCAAATTTCAATTTAAATGCTTTTTAAATTTACATCAAATTCAAATGTAGAATAGAAAAATACCTTTACTGTCTCACAATGGGGAAACTGTGGTGTTACAGCAGCAAAAGATTATAGCAAAACAAATATGTTATTTTCTAATTTTCCTTTTGATTTCAAATAAAACGTGGTGTATATATTAGACATTCCAACTATACATCAGTTTGCCTGTTGCAATGTGTTCTGCTGATCTAAAAGTAAAGGACACATATATGATATACCAGAATAATGAGTGTTTTCCAAGATGGGAATGTGCCAGATGTCTGGGGTATTCTTTTTTTCCCCTTTTTTGTTCATTTTCTACATAAAAATCAGTATTTATTTATTTATTTATTTATTTATTTATTTATTTATTTATTTATTTATTTATTTATTTATTTATTTATTTATTTATTTAATCAATTCAGGTTTCCGTGCACAGCTCGCGTTTTCTAGCGGAACTACTTTTGCCTTTCGTTATATCTGCTCGAGAGTATTTGCGGGAGCACAGGAACCGCGCTCTCCTCGTAGCTTGCTGAGATCATGCCGAAGTAAGTTCCCAAATATATTCTTTGTGCCAGTTTTTATTATTTTTCTCTTAGTTTAATCGTGAAATACTTAAGCTGGATTTTTATATTACGGGCTGTACATAGTTGTTTCCGGAAATGTTCGATCCCACATTGAAGTCGTTTTTGTTTGGGATGTGTCTATTTGCTGGAACTATTTTCGGTGGTCTGCATCGGTCAACTGAGAAACACGATCAAACAAATACGTTAAATGTTAATCTGTTCATATGTATCGTGGTAAATTAAAAATAATTGAATTACGAATGAATTGTTTTGTCGCAAATATTTGTGTTTCTACTAAATGCATTCGAAGTGTATGTCCCCCTCTGTTGCTGCTGCTGGGTTCATAATGAAAGTAGTAGTTTTACTGATTTTTATTAATAATATATAAAAGAAAAATCATGAGAATAAATACATAAATGCTAACGGTATGTAGATATCGATGCATTTGTCTTTACTGACATAAAGGTTTGCTTTTGTTTTTTATCCCAAGGTTTTATTGTGACTACTGTGATACTTACCTTACACACGATTCGGTAAGTGGCAGTTGTTCCCACCATTCTTGTTGATTATGTTTTTTCTAATAGGTTTACAATTTGTGACTTTAAAAAAAAAAGTCATTCATTCATTGATTAATTACTGTCCATGTTCTAATTACAGTATTCCTTCTATTAATAAAGTTATTCATGTGAAGACTCATACGTAGTTTAATAATGAAAAAAAAATAGTAACTATAAACCTTTTTTTTTTATTTTTATACAGCTAATGCAACAAATTATATCTCTAAAAAAAAAAGAAAAAAACATCCATAGGTCATTGCTCCAGAGCTCACACTAAGTACTTTCACTTGTTTAAACCAGTCTCTTTTTTTTTTTTTTTTTCCTCCTGTTTTAGCCCTCAGTGAGGAAGACGCACTGCAGTGGCCGAAAACACAAAGAAAATGTGAAAGACTACTACCAGAAATGGATGGAAGAGCAAGCCCAGAGCTTGATTGATAAAACAAGTAAGTCAATATCTGTTCAAGGATCTGTTTATGCCAGCAACTCTAATCACATTTTCATGTATATTGATTGTAGTACTTTTTTTTTTTTTTTTTTGCTGCAATGTAAGCATAAGTTTTACTCATAGAGGGTCAGCCTTCAAACAAAAATGTTTTTTATGCAGTAAAGTTTTATTAAGGGTGCAAATATTTGTTGTCTGTTTGTCTTTTTTTTTAACAAAAAACTATTAACTGTTATTTAAAGGTATTGTGGAGGACTTTTAAAAGGCCCCTCCAATAAAAAGAATAAATAAAATGCACTTGCAAGAGCTTGCACAAGCCCATTTCTCCTCGTGCACATCCTGTTTAAAATGTACTGCTCTCATAGCTCATACAAGTTTACTGTGTCCACATGCAATGGGGACTATATAGTGGACTTTATAGCAAATTGAATAATGCTTTACTTTGTAAAGGAAATTAGCTTTCTTATCCCAAATTAATCTGAAGTTAAATCTGAAATCTCCAGGAAACTTTCTCACTTGAATTGAGAAAGCTTCCTGGAGCGGTGGCGAAACGTCTACAAATCTTGGAAACCACGTCCAGTGGATTTTTTTTTACTTTTACGGAATTCTGTAAAGTTTTGTCTCCAAATGATGTCAATGCATTGGACTAAAAACAGGTTCTGATCGTTTGAGTCTTTGTTTGATGGGAAAAAAAAGTTTTACTTAATAACTCTTGGCATAAATATAGGAACTTAATAGAATTGAAATGTAAAAGTCTAAATCTATATTTGAATTGTGAAAATGAAACTCCAAAACACCGAAAGATGCCGCTTTTTGAGTGTAGGAAACCTAGTTTAAAGATGGGATGAAAATTTATTTTATAAAATTAATGAAGCTTTCATTTTTTTTCGCTGGACAGTTATCATTAACGAATGGCAAACAAAAGGTTCATAGATCATTCAGCCAAATCGAAGAATCGGCAATAGCGACTGTCTTTGCAACCAAATTCTTCGACTGCGACCACGAGGCCAGTAGTGTCACACCGGTTGATCGGCTTTGGCCTAACGGGAACTTAAGAGATGGTTTTGATCAACAGATTTTTGCTGCTTTTTTTAACCCTTTCATGCATAGTGGTCACTACAGTGGACAGTTATTAAATGGTTGTTTTCTCTTAAATGAACATGTTTTAATGTCACATTTGCACATATGTTACTACAGTGGACGCTAATGTATCATCCTGCCACTTGTCAAACTGCCACCTACTCGTCAGCCTTTGCAAGTGACTTTTTTTTCCTAAAAAAAAAAAAAAGGCCGACAGAGGAGCATTGAGGGAGAGGAATATCTGCTCATTCCTTTTATTCTAGGCGATCCTTGCAGGTAAAAAAATATGGGGACATCAAGTAACAATAGTTTTCTTTAAAACAAAACAAAACAAGGTTATATCAGTTGCACAAATGCGCATTGTCCACCCAAGTGGACATGTTACCAACTCCCTAAAGAAAGTATATATTTTTTTTAAAAATTTATGAAAATGTTTTTTTCATTCATAAAGAGTAATAAAAACACTTGGTAAAAAAATCATAACATATACTATCATAATTCATGCATGAAAGGGTTAATGACACAGATGTGTAGCAATGGGTTGCTTTTGAACCTAGTGGGCTCTTTGAATGTTTGAAAAAATCCTTGCTGCTTTCCTTGTACGGTGATTCGTCAGGCTCCAACATATGGGGCAGCAGTTCCAGGAAATGTTCTTCGACGGGATTCTGTTTGTCGTCAGTTGTAATGCACTCACTTGACAAAGATTCCTTAGTATTTTCATCGCCACCTGTTTCAGTATGTTTATTCACTATGTTGGCTTCCCATTCTTCAGAAGTGATGCAAACTGGTTTGGTATGGTCAAAAAACCCGAACTGGCAAAAAAACTGCTTCATTTTTAATCCTTAGTATCTAAATATCTCAAGACTTTTGATGGGAATTAACAACAAAAGAGCTATTTCTATTTCATCCCATTTTTAAACATGAAACTGACCAGTAACTTAGACAAACAAAATACATTTGTTTTGTACAGCTCTCATGACATTCCCATTTCTGTAAGTGCAGCAGTGATCAAATGTAAGCATGTGGGGAAAAAAAAACATGGTGCAAAAAAAAAACGCATTGATATGTTCAGTTTGATGCAGAGTCTTTGACATGATTTAGAGAAACACTCCATCTTTTCTTTTAACTGCAGTCAGCTGTTCCCTCTCATTAACCCGAGCACTTCATTCTTTTTCTCCTCTATATTCAATCAAGTGGTCAGACATGGACACTAAAAGGCTTGCATATTCTGCACAAGCTTTCTGCAGCACACGTGGGATTTTAAAGCTCTCTTCCCAAACACTGGCCTCTTTAAAAAGTTTCTTTTTCTCCCCCTCCGGGATTACAGACTGCTAATCCACACATGTAATGCAAAGCTAATGTACAGTTTGGATCCACAGTGGAGGAATGTGACATTCAGAAATGAAATGCTTCTTTACAACACAAAGATCTTCCTTTGCACCTTAATGTTTTGCTTTACTGGTAATACCATTCATTTAGCCTCCAGTAAAGCTGCTGCAGACAATGGTATTACATGATGGATTTACTATGCTGAACGTTAAAGACCCTGTCGTTATAAGGGTAACATTAAATCATAACAAAGCCAATGAAAGCCTATGTTCTTTTGCTCTTTATACAGTAAATGATGAAATATTTGTCTTGTGTTGTTAATGCATTTGGTTTTCTTTGCTTTTCTTACCAGCGGCTGCATTTCAGCAGGGAAAGATTCCTCCCACACCGTTCCCTGGTGGTCCTCCCCCAGGTGAGTCAGTCGTTTCTGTAACGGTGAAATTTGTTACAGATCTTTGGTTTTGTAGTTTTACATGGAAAATGATGAGTTTCATTTTAATCCAATAGAAACATCTTTGCAAACTGTTCAATATTATGACGGATCTATTAAACTATCTCAGATTATCTTTTTTTGGCGACTCCAAATGTCCATCAGCACAGAGTGAAGATGGCTCTAAATACACTTACCTTTTTAACACAACTTTTTGACTATTAGTCAGCAGTTGGATAAAGCTGCAACATTTTTAACTGACTGAAGAGTAAGATGGTGTAAAAATGAAAGCTATAGTACTTGCATCTTTAAGCGCTTTCTCCCAGATTCTTTCTTGGAAGAGATCACTCGACGAACTCTTTAAACGACACATAACAATTTATACATATTAAATGACTATAAAACATGACTGCAGCTGTAACAGAATTTAATCTTACTAAGACCAGCAAAGTGTCTCAGGTTATGTACAGCAGTCCTTACTGGCCTTGCTTTGTTAGTGAAGATCCCTGAATAACGGTTAATAAAATAATATATATGCTGAGTCACATCATCACATCAGACATAATCACATCTTAGGCATGTTGTTTGTAAATGATGAGACATCACTGACTCAGATATATTGAGTTAATGCAGTGTTATAAAGGACAAATCAATGTGCACTACCATAGCTTTCTTTGTTAAGAAATTTGACCTGTCTGTGAATTAGCCGCTATACTTTATAGAGTTAAACCCTTGGTATGTTGGTGAAGATTCTCAGTCATCCAGGATATAGTCATTCCAAAAAAGTTTAAAAAAACATCCCACTGGACTTTGTTTCCAAGTGTGAAGATGTTTTATTTCCCGTCCAGGAAGCTTTTTTAATTAAAATGTCAGAAATGGCATTGAGTTTTATACAGTAGCCCAACAAAACCTTGTTTTTGTGTAGACAACATTCATATTGAAACTGACAAACAGGTCCACCCCTTTGGAATGGGGGTCGTTTGGCTTCTTTTGTCAGCCTGCAATGCCCCAAACCTGTCTATGTCTCAAAGGGGGGTCATTAAAGGGAATTAATGTTAAATTCCCTTTAAAGTCGCTCCTTTTCAGAGAAATGGACATGTTAAACATCTACTATGCTTATAGGTACGGTAATATCAGGGCATATATGACAAGCATATATGAATAACAAAGAATAATCCTAACGATAAGGATTTACAAAAAATGTCTCATGAAATGCCCTATAGGTCCAGTTTAGTGTGTTTAACTGCAAAAAAAGCTAATTTGGAGGCGTGTCGTTTAAACTCAGCAAACTCAAATTGAACCAATGGAAACTTTTGTTGGTCAATTTTTGTTAGCCAAAAAAATGCTAGTGATGATTTATATCATGCATTTGAGTTAAAATTAAGTTTAAGTATTTAGATTACCAATCAAACCACAGGAGAATTGGCTTTAAACTCTGGATTATGTCTATATTCAATTGTAAATGTAGTTTAAAATTTTACAATGTGTTTTTTTTTTCTTCCTTAACTTCAAATGATCGTGCCTCCAGGTCTCACTTTGCAATGTCATTCCCTGTTGTGGCCGTTTCACATTTTCTGTTTGTAACATAACAGGACCTCCACGCCCAGGCATGCTACCAACGCCGCCGATGGGAGGCCCTCCTATGATGCCCATGATGGGGCCTCCACCCCATGGGATGATGCCTGGTGGGCCTGGTAAGAAACGTCCTCCTTTGAAGTTTATCACCCATTTTTGCTTTAGATAAGCATATTTTCCACAGAGCAGCCAAGTTAGCATCCATTCTCCGGGGCACCTAAAAAGGTCACATGCAGAAAGCAGATTATTCACATTGTGGTTAATAATGCTCTGGAGTTTCTCATGTCATGTCGAATATTAATGTAGCCTATTTACATCACAGAATTCTGTCTCCGATAGCTTATAACAATACAGTGTATAATTGAAATGGTGTCATCTGTTAATACTGATCTGTTGCATAAAACACTGACCTTGGTATCCTATCACTGTCACTAGGAGGCATGAGGCCACCCATGGGGGGACCCATGCAGATGATGCCGGGGCCCCCACATATGATGCGTCATCCTCGTCCCATGATGATGCCCGTCAGGCCCGGCATGGCGCGGCCAGACAGATAAGGCCAAGCGGACGTCTTGCTCTCGTTTTTATCATGAACAGATATTGTCCAGGGAAGATCCTTCAATTTTTTTCATTGCAAGTTTTCCATCTGATCCAGCTGGGACATAAACTTTACCTTTTAGTCGTCATTTTTGTTTTAATGATGATATTTATTGATACTCAGTCGATTTGAGTCAATCTGAGAACTTTTTTTTTTACATTTTTGGTTCCAGAATGATCTCTCCCTCCGTAGGCGAACTGTTCAGTGTGAATGCGAGTGAGACTTGTTGTTAGTTCCTTTTTTTTTCTTTTTTTTTTCCACAGTAGTTTTAAAGGATTTTGTATATCACTAGCATTGGTGAGAAATAAAAACAATGCTTTGAAAACTTGTCTTGTGCTTTTTTTTCAAGCCTTTTGTTTATTTGTCTTGTCTAGTTTGAAATCTTAGTAAATAGAATTTGCAGATGTTACGTGAACCTTTCCATATACAAGAATATCAAACAGTTAATTTAATTAAGAAATTTACTTAAGTAATATATTCACTTAAGCTCTCACTTTGAATAGTTTATGCAATCTCTAGGCAAATAATGTTTAGTGGTTTAGGGTTTTTTTTTTTTTTTGTTAAAATGTTGCAGCCCCAAAAAATAAACAAAGATCCATTTAACTTTTTGTTTGCTTTTCAAATGTTATGGTAAACCCAAGATTCTCTAAATTTTCTAGAAATTATTTAAGTATTTTATAGAAATTTCACCTTTTGTATGAAGCTTATTAAAACTAGTAAGTTGCTGTTATTTTAACCTATTTGGATGCATCTGTACATGTAAGGTCAGAACCTGTCCGATAATGCAGGTAACATTTCTAAATACTAGGTTTAGTATGAGTCGTGTATAAAATCAGTCAAGAATTTTTCTCACACCTGGGAATTTTGGCCTTGTTTGGAAAGATGAACTGAATATACGATTCCAGCGGAGTAATAAAATGCACATTGCAAGATCACTTTGAAATCTGTTTGTTCCTGCTAACTTTAGTCTTTGGGGACTCTGGGTTTTTTGGTTTGCTTCTTTTATTTTGTCAGATTAAGTTTTCCATTTCATACAGGAGCGTATTGCATTCACCTAGAAAAATTAAAGTAATGGTCTGTTTTTCTGAATTAACAAGATCATTTAAAATAAATAGAAATTTTCAGTTTTCCTAAATTGACTTCATTTTTACAAAAAAACAAGTTAGAAAGTTAAAGTAAATGTTTTCTAAATTAACGAGATAATACTGCTGTTATTTCATTTTAGATGTTCTTTTACTGTTGGTAGTGCAAATTTCGTATCAAGAGTCGATGTCCTGTTTGCTGAATTTAATACATCTTTACTGTTAAGATTTAGACTGGGGAATTTCTTGTCTCTTTATGAACATGCAATAATTAGCTTGTTGACTTTGCAAAGTCACCTGCATGCTGGAGGCTAGTCATGGCATGGTTGTTTCCCCTTTTCAGTTTTGTAATTTAAAAAATACAGCTCTTTATTTGTTTTTTATCAAATTGATCTAATTAATTCAGAAAAAAACTTTTTGCTGTGTCTTGTTAAAGTAGAAATGCAATGTTTTTGTTTACTTTTACAAAAAGTATGTAATTAAGAAAAAAGACACATTTCTTATTTCAGGTGAATGCAATACACTACTTTCAATTAGTTGATCATTTTCAGTGGTTTTAAGTGATTTTGAGACTAACCTTAAAACCATTAGTATAAGGATACAATAACATTTTTTTTCTATATGTATTACCATGGCTAAGGGAAAAAAAAAAACTCTAAAATGTGTTTATTCATTTGCAAAGCCTCCTCTGCTTCACTTGTGGGTGTTTTGCTCCAAATTACTGCCAATGCCACAATTTCTTTTCATTCCTTTATGTTGTAAACAAACACTGGCTGTTGGCATTACTGTTATCTATAGAGACATTGATTTATGATCTGGTCGGCATCAAAACGCTGCGTCCCACAAATTCAAATTCTCAGTTGGCAGCTGGATGCAGTCAGGAGTCTGTGACAGAATTAAAAGGTCTGTTCAGAATTGAACTTGATGCTACATCGATCAGTAGGAAAAACAATATTTGCGCTCTCTCAAAGAACAAAGAGGGGAGTAATAAAAAAAGACGAAGCTTGATCAAAGCTGTGCTGTCTGGGAAACCGATGCATCCAGGACACATCTCTACTTTAAGGTTGGAGGATTTAATGCTTTTAGATTGCAATAGTTGTTCAATCAGAACCCAACCACTCTGAACGTTTCTCACTCATTCTTCCCAAACATCCCGAACTTAAACATTTGATGCTACTCAATGAGCTTTGTTTAGGTTTATCAGTCAAAAATCTTATTAGCTCTAACCCAGCACAGGCACACACAAAGAGGATCTCCTAAATGGGCGCCATGTGCCCTCAGCCTGCAGATTTTGATGTTTAAGAAATTTCTGCTATAGCCTCCTGACCTGAACAGAGTGTATCCACATCCAAGATGAGCATCACACTAAATATGGCTGAGAAATGCTGAAAACAGATGGATATTTCTAATATCTCTTCTGTAGATGGATGAAAAAGTTCACCCAGCGCCTCATTAATTTACTTAGCCAGGCGTGTTTGAAGAATTATGAGTCTTATGTAAGAATCATCTGCAGCCAGCGAATCGTTATCCCAGCTGACATTTGTATGCACAATGCCTTCCAAGACTTCAGTGCCCTCTTTTATGCTGGGTTGTGTGTGTTCACAAACATTTGCCTTTAACTATAAAGCAGCTTCAACAGATGGAGCCAGAGAGTCACGATGCTTTTCAATTATAACCAAGACACTGGAATGATGTGCAGTGACTGATTTTTGTGCTTCCATGGACTGTCAAATTTCTTTGTATCTCACACACCCAGAGGACATGGAGCTCTGTGGGTTAAGAAATTTCTAGGCCACGTATGTAGAAAAAAAACAAATTTGTTGAGGGAATATATCCATATGCTTTACGCTGGGTTTGCTGATTTCATATAACTGCAGAATGGAGGAACATTATAACCAAGTCAATCCAGGCACTAATGAGGCTGTTAACATCACAATACTTTTGAGAGATGCTTCTCATGCCTGCTGTAAATTATGATCTTCAAAGAGACCTGCACAAATTACATGAAACCATGGGCTCCTCTTAAAGGATGGACTGTTGAATATAATTTAAACGGGCAGTTTTCCACCTCAACGAGACAGAAATAAAGCCATGTTAATGCCCATTTCATGCGTGTGTCGGGCATAGGCGGACGCCCATGTGTCATCCTATATCCATGGAGCCTTTATGAATATTCAATTTAGCAATGATTGGGAGCGCTGCCCTGAAGGGAACGGAGTGGCGGAGAGCGTTTTTGATTCGAGTTCAAGAGTTAATAAAATCATAGGAAATCTGGATTATAATGAAGCGTAACAGGAAGACAAAAACCTTTCAGCATTCAGTAAAAGACTGATCTTTTTAACAACTCAAGTTAAATGTTTTCTTGTAGGAATTCCGTAAAAATTCAAAAAATATCCACTGGACTTGGTTTCCAAGATTTGAAGACGTTTCGCCACCTCTCCAGGAAGCTTTCTCAATTCAATTTCTTGTAGGAAGATCACTGTGTTGGTTTTACAGATATGAGCTCTTAAAGGTCTAACAAACTGTCTTTACCTGTATCTACTCTGTGGGTTTTTTATATATCCATATCATATTTAAAGCTTGACCATTGCAACAATAGTGATTATGAATTTGCTCCAACTTTGATTTATTATCTTACTGTGCACATATCCTGTATATACCCAGTATAGCAGCTATTTCGATGGTCAGCTTTCAGACATGTTCCTATCTGAGTTTTCTGGAGTGGGATGTAAACATTATAAATGCAGGCTTATCTCGGAAGGTCTTTGTCTGGGTTTTGGTCCTGGCTCCTGATATGGCGGAGTCTGTGCCAACAGCCCAAATAAAAGTGGTTAACTTATTTTGGATGTCATATAAGAGGGTGGTGAGTACTTTTACTTGCTGGACAGTTAACTTCTTGGTGGACCGTGGTATCGCTGAGGCTTATTCAATACTAAACATTCTCCTAGAGGCTTCCTAAGGTAGAGCTGGCATGTAAATCCTGTTTTTCAATGGTAACTGCTCTCGAGAGTGATAGTTAATCTCCATGTTCAAGCACTCTTACCACCATCATGCCATTATTGAATTACCGGACGATCACAATGAATTCCAGGACAGTCAAACTTCTCCCATCTTCCACAGACCATCTATTCTGATAATATCAGAAGCCTTGGTCAGAGGTTATGATGCCACCTAAATCCACTGAGTGTTTTAAAAAAGGCCTTAAAACATTTCTTTTTAGCAAAACTTTTGGTCCCCTTTAAATCTTTTTTTTTTCTTCTCTCTTTTAAAACAGCTTTTATTATTATTATTATTATTATTTTTATTATTATTAAAATAGTCTATGTGAGATAATGTGAGCTAATGTCAGGAACGTAAGACAATAAATGCTCACAATTTTAACCAGTTAAACAGAGAAAATATGTTTAACTTACTCTGCAGATAATGAGGAAGAAACTGTAAATCTGTAAGTTTTAAGTAAAAACTTAATTTAATCTCAACTATGGTAAAAGTTTATGAACTTAGCTTCTAAAATCATACAAGCTAGCATTAAAAAGACATACAGGTGGGCTATATTAATTCATTGTAAATGACACGGGCGCTGAATATGCTGAACCATATTCTCTCTTTTCTCTTGGGGGATCTTTAGTTTTAGCTGCCTGGGAAGCTGGGTTGATAAAATTCCCCTGTGGGATCTGGATCTTCCACAGAGTCATAGCTAAGATAATCTTTCCTTTCGTAGAGATGTGGAGAGAGGGCAGTGGCATTGCAGTCTGCTGAAATTAAGTCCTGGTTTATGTGAGTTCTGTTTCTTCCCACTGTTGACTGTCTGCTCCAACGACTACTTACTTGGATCTTGTTCTAAATGGGAACTTTGTGGTGAAGCATTCAAATAAAAGCATTGCTTTGGGTCTGTAGGGTAAATAGGGCAAACTAAACCTCTTTTATAGTTATCTACAATTCCCACTCAGTTTTACACTTTCCTAGTGCAGTTCACACTCACCTCTTTGATATTCCTGTCACAAGTGAATGCATAGATGTCACGAATATCAGCGCTCACAGGAGAGACACTCAGAAAGCGATTCTCCGCAGCCCCTGGGTCCATGAGCAAGGCTGTGCAGGAGTGAGGCTTAAGAGGGTCTGATGATTGATTAACTGTTTGTAGCAAGCGGCTTTGACAGACGGCCTGATTCGCCCA